AAAAAAAAATTTCCTAGTGGTAGCACAGAGGATGGATTTTGAGCAAAATTGCTGTAAAACTTGGATCAACTGGGTGTGGTGGTTTATGCCTGTACTCCCAGCAGTTGGGAGACAGGCCAGGAGGATCACAAGTCGAGGCCAGTCTGGGATACATAATGAGACTAATTAAAAACATAACAATTTTGAGGGCTTTTGCCAAGGCAGCAGTGGGCAATCTGGATTTGTATCAGGATTTCAACGGCAACTGTGGGAGTAATAGTTCTTTTACAGTTGGTACCCAGTTTCTGAGAAGATTTTAGGGCAAACACTGTTTCCTACTATATATATTCCTAGCTTTTCAAGTTATATAGAGAATAGTACTTTACTTTCAAGAAAGCGGATAATGTTGTAAAATATGAAGATGGAGGTGCATGCTGGTGCATACTTATCAGCCAAGCCATTTGGGAGGCTGAGGCAGAATGATCCCCAGTTCCAGACCATCTTGGACCACAGTGAGAACCTGTCTCAAACTTCCCTTGCCTGCCTGCCCCACCTCCAAAAAGAAATTATATTTTTGCTTGAGAGAGGCAGCATATATATGTACTCCTTCATGTATGCTCATGTATAATTGGATTTTAAGTACTTATTTGATTCTGTTCAGAAGTTTTTTTTTTTTTTTACTTTTTTTTAGATGAGACCAGGACTTGAACTCAGTACCTACCAGTTTTGCTTCTAAGCTAGTGCTCTACCAACTGAGCTGTGCCTCCAACCTCCTATTTTTTTTGACATTTTTAAAGATTGTAGTGCAACACGTACGTTTGTGTGCAGATAACAATAAAAGCAATTAACTAATAACAAATAATTTGTTTCCCACAGTTAAAATTGTGATGAAAATCCATCACTTGCTTTGTTTGAATGTTTGCCTTGTGTCTTGTAATTGATTTCTTTAGTACAGAGCTTGCGAAAGCCATCAAACCTATCGATGGGAAGTCAGTTCATCAGATTTGTTCTGGGCAAGTGGTCCTGAGTTTAAGTACTGCTGTAAAGGAGTTGGTTGAAAATAGTGTGGATGCTGGTGCCACTAGTATTGGTAAGTTTCAGAGAGTAATAAGAAATAAGATTATGCTGCTTATTTTAGAAAATGTGTTACTGCCTAAAACAATCAAGTACTGGTTTATCTTAATGGTAACAAATAATGAGTGTCTAGTACTTAACTTGATGGCAAGAATACTAGCAGTTCATTTCTACAGTGCTCCTCCTATATGCTAAGCAGAATTGTATATCACATATCTCTTTTAATATGCAGAGCAACTAAACTAAGAGTTACCATCTTGGGGCTGGGAAGGTGGCTCAGTGGTAGAGCGCTTGCCTTGCATGCATGAGGCCCTGGGTACGATTCCTCAGCACCACATCAGCAGTAAAAGCCGGAAGTGGCCCTGTGGCTCAAGTGATAGAGTGCTAGCCTTGAGCTGAAAAGCTGAGGGACGGCGCCCAGGCCCAGAGTTCAGGCCCCAAGACTGCCCAAAAAAAAAGTTATCATCTTGATTATACAGATGAAGAAATTCAGGAACAAGGAATTTGCTTTTTTGAAGCGATAAAGCTAATAAAATATGGTCCAGGAATTGGATTTTAGCCTGTTCTCCGTAATAACTATATCTTTGTAAAAGAAAAAAACAAACATACGTGTTTGTAACTTAAAAAGACTTTTTTTTTTGGGGGTCCTGTTGTGGGGTCTGAACTCTGGGCCTGGGCGCTGTCCCTCAGCTCTTCAGCTCAAGGCTAGCACTCTACCACTTGAGCCACAGCACCACTTCTGGCTTTTTTCTTTTTGCTTATGTGGTGCTGAGGAATCGGACTCAGGGCCTCAGGCATGCAAGGCAAGCGCTCTACCACTGAGCCACCTTCTCAGCCCCCCCCCTTTTTTTTTTTGATTCGTTGTGGGACTTAAACTCAGGGCCTGTGCACTGTCCCTGCGCTTTTTCACTGAAAGCTAGTGCTCTACCACTTTGAGCCACAGCTCCACTTGAGTTTTCTGGTAGTTAATTGGAGATAAGTCTCACCAACTTTCCCGCCCAGGATGGCTTTGAACTTGGATTCTGGGATCTCGGCCTCCTGAGTAGCTAGGATTACAGGCATGAGCTGCCAGCATCCAGCTTCAGAAGGATATTGCAAAAAACAGGGTTGAGGATGTAATGGTGGTAGAGTATTTACATAGCGTATGCAGAGCTCCTGGCTTCATTCTTTGTCACTGCAAATAGAAATAAACAGACAAATAAATAAAATGTATGGACTGGTAACAGTTTACTTAAAAGTATTATAGGGCTTGGTGCAATGACTCAAGCCTGTAATATTAACTACTTGAAGACAGAGATGTCTAATACCAGCCCAGGGGAAAAGCTTCATTAGAGACCTCCACCTCAACCCATAAAAAGCTGGGCATGATGGTATATATGCCTGTCAACCCAGATATGTTAAAAGCATCATTAGGAAGGTTGTGTCCACGCTGGCCCCAGGCATAAATTCTAATGAAAAAAAATAGCTGCTGGAGATGTGGCTCAAGTTAGAGCTCCTGCTGAAGGAGCACAAGGCCCTGAATTCCAATCCTAATCCTGCCCTCCAAAAAAAGTATAGTTATGATTCCTAAATTCATATTATATAACAATGCCAATCCAAAAGCTTTGAGCAGGGGTCAGTTGTTGAGAAGTAAATTTTCTTTTTCTTTTTCTTTTTTTTTCTCTTAAGATCTCAGGCTTAAAGATTATGGGGTGGATCTCATTGAAGTTTCAGACAACGGATGTGGGGTAGAGGAAGGAAACTTTGAAGGCTTAGGTAAGGCCAGCTTTTCTAATCCTATTATAAAATAATTGGGCCAAATGCCTGAGAATTTTTCGTAGCAGTGTCTTGTCTTCAGTCACAAAAATGACTGAAAAGTAGCAGTGTCTTAATCTTCAGTCACAAAAATGACTAAAAAAGGCACAAGCTGTGGTGGTACCACATGTTCATTGCTGCCCCTCTCGACACATTTCAGACATCACTTTCCACTCTCTTTCAGCTCTGAAACATCATACTTCTAAGATTCAAGAGTTTGCTGACCTCACCCAGGTTGAAACTTTTGGCTTTCGGGGAGAAGCTTTGAGCTCACTCTGTGCACTGAGGTGATACGTCATTTTTATCCATTTATATTAACTCCTTTGGAAAACCTTCTGAAAATTCCAGTTTGATTAGATTCAATATTGTTGAAATCTCCCAACTTCTGATTTATCTTCCTGCCAATCTGCATGATATATACTTCTAGAAATACCATGAATAGATGAGTAAAATGAAGCAAATAGTATTGTAAGAATGTGTTACCTCAATTGTGAAGTAATGCAGAGGAGGTATAGCCCCAGGTAGAGGACTTGCCAAATATGAGTGAGGCCCTGAATTTGATTCCCAGCACTGTCCAAAAAAAAAGCGAGATGAGTAACACAGACAATAAATTCTAGATTACAGTTAGTTTATCTTTAAGTTTTTAGGAAAATCTTCCCCAGGGCTCATATTTAATATAGCTTTGAATTCTTTTTTTCTTTCTTTCTTTTTCTTTTTTGGTCAGTCATGGGGCCTGAACTTTGTGCCTGGGTGGTTCCTCAGCTCTTCAGCTCAAGGATAGCACTCTACCATTTGAGCCAAGGACCACTTCTGGCTTTTTTCTTTTTGCTTATGTGGTGCTGAGGAATCGAACTCAGGGCCTCAGGCATGCAAGGCAAGCGCTCTACCACTGAGCCACCTTCCCAGCCCCCTCTCCCTTAGTTTTTAAAGATAGGGTTTGTTTGCTTTTTCTCAACAAAGACATAGAGAGCCTTGTGTTATGAGCTGTTGAGCTATGTTGTACTGGCCTTTCTATAAAGATACATTTGGTTTTTGTGTGTGTGAGTGAGTGTGTGTGTGTGTGTGTGTGTGTGTGTTTAAGGAACAAAACATCCAAGGGAGGGTGTGATAAACACCTATAAACCCATCATGAGATAGAAGAATCACATGTTCAAGGCCAGCGTGGGTTACATGTAGTGAGACCATATCTGTTTTTTTTTTTTTAATTTTTTAGGGGAAGGATTACATGGTTAAGTAGACTATACCTTTTTCTTTTTTTTTTTTTTTTGCCAGTCCTGGGGCTTGATCTCTAGGCCTGGGCACTGTCCCTGAGCTTCTTTTTGCTCAAGACTAGCACTCTACCACTTGAGCCACAGTACCACTTCTGGCTTTTTCTGTTTAAATGGTCCTGAGGAATCAATCCCAGGGCTTCATGCATGCGAGGCAAGCACGCTACCACTAAGCCACATTCTCAGCCCCACTTTTTTGTTCTATTTTGTTTAAGACTGCACTTCAGAGCACAGGCTGTCCTTGAACTCAGGATCCTCCTGCCTCAGCTGCCTATGTGTGGGCTTTCAAGTCTGTACCACCATGCTGTGAAGGAAATGCTTTTTTTTGGGGGGGGGTCCGTTTGTGGGGCCTGAACTCTGGGCCTGGGCGCTGTCCCTCAGCTCTTCAGCTCAAGGCTAGCACTCTACCACTTGAACCACATCTCCACTTCCAGCTTTTTGCTTATGTGGTGCTGAAGAATCGAACCCAGGGCCTCATGCATGCAAGGCAAGCGCTCTACCACTGAGCCACCTTCCCAGCCCAGGAAATGCTTTTTTTTTTTTAGGTCCTTCTGTCAGAAACTCTTGCCCTCATTCCTGAGAGGATAACTTTTTTTTTTTTGTCCTAGAGCTAGAACTCAGGACAAAGGTGCTGTTCCTTAGTTTCTTTTTGCTCAAGGCTAGCTCTCTACCACTAGCTCTCTACTTTTGGCTTTTTGTGGTTAATTGGAGATAAGAGTCTCATGGACTTTGCTGCCTGAGCAGGCTTTGAACCATGATCCTCTGATCTCAGAGTCCTGAGGATTACAGACATGAGCCACTGGCATCTGGCTTATAATATGAGAGCTTTGTATTGGCTGTTGTAACTCCTGTTAGATTAAAATAATGTTGTCTTCTGTTTGTGGTTTTTTAAACAGGAGTATGCCAAAATGGTCCAGGTGTTACAGGCATACTGTATCATTTCAGCAGGTGTCCGAGTAAGTTGTACCAATCAGCTTGGACAAGGAAAACGGCAGCCTGTGGTTTGCACTAGTGGAGGCTCCAGTGTCAAAGAGAATATTGGCTCTGTGTTCGGGCAGAAGCAGGTAATGGTGGCTATTAAAAACATC